AGTCTGACGTGGGAGCCAGGCTGCCAAGGGAACGTATTCACCCCCTGTACCTCTGGCCTGTACCCAGTTCTTGTATGCATGCATAAATATCTTTAATATTTATTTTCATTTATTATGTTAGATTGAAAGCAATCAGCTTTGTAAAAAGTGAAAGTGGTAGAGAAATGCCTACGTTAAAATAAGTTCCCCCCACCATTGGCTCCCAGCCCTTCCCACATTGGTGACTCCTGCCTCTGGTCTGACCCAGCTGGAGTTCAGGAAGGTTTAACTCAGCTCCAGTGTGCTTTTTCTTTGAACATTAAAAGGATCACCAGCTTGATTTTTACATTTAACAGGCATTTTTGGACTATCTTTTTAACCTTCTGTTTATTGAAATATAGTTTACAGACCTACAACCCATTTGGCTCAATTATACGATTCAATGGTTTTAGTGAGAATCATCCTCTGTTATCTGTGATTTTGCTTTGCTGGGTTTTAGTCCCCATCAACCACAGTCTACAAACATGACACAGACAGCACTTTAGTTTTAAATTTTAATAATTTATGTAACTATATATGTGTGTGTATGTATATGTATGTGTGTGTGTGTGTGTATTTATTTATGCATACAGAACTGGGGTACAAGCCAGAGGTGCAGGGTGTGAGAAGATTTACCAGAGACAGAGTGGGGAGCAGAACAGGCAGGTCTACTGAAATACACTGCTGAGGGGAGTACTGGGGAGACAGGAGAGGTCTGCTGCGCCCTGTGGGTCAGCTCCCTGGTCGGGGGTCCAACTTGTGCTGCAGTGTCTGCGGAAAGCTTCACAGTGTTGCGCTTTAACAGCAAACAGAGAGGCCCCTATTTATCTATATTTTACATCACTGTTCATTTTTGTACCGCGTTTGCTTTCTTTTCTCAGGTGTATAGCCCCACAGAATTCCCACCACCCGGCCACCTGTGCTCCATCACTATAGTGCTCTTCATCCTGGCTTTGATTCCTGTCCCTGGAGAATGTCTCTGCTTTATAGTTGTCTATTTATTTTTGCTTTGTTTTGTTGTGGTTTTTATTGTTACTATTTTTGGTTCCCTTTTATTCCCCCGATAAATTAAGCCATCTTATATTTTTCTTTTTCCTTCTGATTTATTTCACTGAGCATAATCCCTTCTAGCTTCATCCCTGTTGCTGTGAATAGCATGCGTTTATCTTTCTTGATTGCTAAGTAATATTCCAGTGCAAGCGTATATATGTGCACGCACACAGTCACTTTTATCACAGCTCCTGGTCACTGTTCTGCACTATTATTGTGTTCCCCTTGCAGGACCGTCAGCTCTGCATTTACCCGGGGACTCTGGCTGCGTGGCACACCCCACAGGTAAAAGGGGTGCCCCCAGACCATGGCAGAGGAGGACCTCATTTTCTGCCTGGAAGGTGTGGATGGCGGCCGGACCTCCCGGAATGGCCATGACCGTGACTCCGATGCAGACAGCGACGATGACGAGGGTTACTTCATCTGCCCCATCACCGAGGAGCCCTCGTCACACCAGAATGTCAATTGCAAGGTCAGCAACTACTACGGGGACCTAAGGAAGAATGAGCAATATGGCTCCAGCGGCTCCCCGGCGGGCTCCTTCCACTTCAAGGTGAGCGGCCCCTCCCACCTCCGCCCCAGCTCACCTGTCTCGGGGATGGGGGCTTGGGACCGCTGGTTGTGGTCTTCCCTGTGTTCAAACCCTCAAGGATGCTCTAAATTCTGGATCTGAGGGGACAGGTCTATGAGGCTAGAGGATTTTGCTGGCTTAGAACACGTTTCATTACTTTGAGCAGTGCTTTTCAAATTCTAGCTTGGGGCCCATTACTGGGTTGTGAAAACCCTACAGTGCTCTGGCTGGCCCTTGGCCATAATTCCTGCTGACTGGTGCCTGGTCATTGGCCCCTGGAGCCAGGACATGCCAGGGACGGGTCACAACCACAGCTTGGCCTGCTCCTCCAGGCGGGCAGTGCAGCAGCTGAGAGTCTGACGTGGGAGCCAGGCTGCCAAGGGAACGAATCCTGGCGATGCTGCTGCGGACCTTGACCAAGTTAATTCAGCTTGCCAACTTCCCCGTTTTATGTCAGGGGGGCTGAGTGGGGATGTGGCCTCAGCAGGGCCCCACTGCTAGTTTACAGGGGAATCGTGACCGCAACCTCAGTCCTGGCCATGTCCCGCCATAGACCTGACATTCTCCTCAGCCCGGGGAAACCAAAGGAGCTGCAGACCAGCAGCTGTGCTCTCACACCTACATTCCAGCTAGTATGAAGGTGGGAGAGCAGAGTGCTCCTTTGCTTAAAAAGCTCTTTCCTAAAGTTACCTACAGCCTTTCTGTTTGTATCCCATCGGCCAGAATTTGTCACATGATCTGCAGAGAAATCTAGGAAATGTAGACTGATTCTGAGTGCCCGTGTGCTTAGCTAAACACCAGTGACCCTAGGAAGGAGAGCAGAGCGCTCGGGGACGATT